CCCCTCCTTTTGCATCCGAGTATTTGCGGTCAAACGGTACTTTAAAGGACTGTGGCAGCCTTGGTTATTATCGTCATGTGCCAAAATTTGGATAGTTTCGTTCTGAACTGCAGAAAACTAAACTTCTTTTCATAACTTCAATAAAAGTATTAAATAAAGCTTTGCAAACACAAGACTTTGGCGTATTTTATTATGGTCTCCTAATGTTTTGGGCAAAAAGTTCTCGTTGCCAAAAATTGAGGCTGGATTCCCTACTGTGGCATATGAATAGCAGGGGGGGGGGACTGTTTATCTCCAGCAAATGGCGACTTCCCATAATGAAGAGTGACTGGCAGGCTTACGTTATTACTTATTCCTCATGTTGTTTTAGTTTGCTCTAACAAAATGAAATAATTAAGGCAATAGGGGGGGGCCCTGTTTCGCTTGGGGCAGTTGATTGGCCAACAGCATTGATGTTAAGAAGGGGGTCATTCTCGGTAAACCTGTGTTTAACGGTGTTCCTCCTTTATTTCTTCTCTTGCAAATGCAACCCCCCCCCCTCCCCCCATCAATGCTTTTTGAGCCTCAGAGCGTAGAAGTCAAGAGTAATTGTGAGCTGCTTTTGCAGCCGACTTATGTGTTAGGCGCCACCTCCGTAACCATTGTCCCTTTATTGGGTCAGTTGTCTAATCAATTTATGGTCGTTTTTATAATTGACTGCTTAAATAGTTGCTGACATCAGATATGGGAAATTACTGCCATAAATATAATCATCAGCATCAGCATCATTACCAGATTTTTAGCGCATTATTTAATTACCCGCAAAGCACTGACCAATAAAACGCATAACTTATTTGATCCTCACACAAATGCTTCCTGTTTGAATAAAAAATTAGAATCCTTAGTTCCACTTAAACTGCTTTGAAAGATTAAAGTTCGCTATTTAGACCAACTGGAACTGGAGGGAGTTCTAAAAGTATGCTTGTGCTCTTTCTATGCCAGAAAAAGCATTTTTTATTATTATTATTTAATATCACACGGTGACTTGTGGTATTTGAATTCAAAATAATAATATTTTGAAGGGATTCACTAGTTTCGAGCATTTCTTGCATTCCTTGTAACTATAACAAAAACATGTATCTTCTGGAATACATATGTGTGTGTGTTGACAAATCGTTTTCCATTTGATTGTTTGTAAAATTTTATGTAGATTTCCCATTCTAATTTCGAATTTACTAATGATTATATCTCATTAATCCTTACAAGATAGCTGTAGATGCATAAATTAGGAGTTAATCTAATTATATGATGATTAATTTTTTCTAGGTTGGTGATGAGCTATTACAAATAAATGGTTTCATGACCGCGGGAATGTCTCACCGTCAAGCTGTTGAGATTATTCAAGCCGGTGGAAATATGATTCGTCTTGGGGTTCGACGTCTCCTTCCTCCACTTTTACCACCTCAGACAACATCTTCTAGCGATGGAAAATCTCAGCTCCCACCACCACCACCACCTATGTCATACGCTCCTTTTCCTCTCCCAATCACGGCCCTGAACCCCTCTCCCGTACCAACTGGGCCTCCCAATCTCCGTCTTCCTCAACTCTTCACTCCATTACCTGTCCATAAGGCACCCACCTCCAGCCAGAGACCACTTCTTTCATCTGGTAAGCCCTTTCTTCTTCTGGAATTCTCTCCTGATTAAGGCCTTCATTGTGTGGAAAGACATCGGCCGGTCCATGCATTGCAAAATTTCCCTTCTTAGCAAGTGTGTCAGCAATCTCATTGCCTTTAAGATTGTGTGCGAAAGACATCGGTCTCTCCTGATTAAGGCCTTCATTGGGTACAAGACATCGGTCTCTCCTGATTAAGGCCTTCATTGGGTGGAAAGACATCGGCCGGGCCATGCATTGCAAAATTGTTGTCCCCTTCTTAGCGAGTGTGTCAGAATTGCACACTCGTTGTCCCCTTCTTAGCAAGTGTGTCAACTTGCAAAATCGTTGTTCCCTTCTTAGCAAGTGTGTCAGCAATCTCATTGCCTTTAAGATTGTGTGCAAAGACATCGGCCGGTCCATGCATTGCAAAATCGTTGTCCGACAAGACATCGGTCTCTCCTGATTAAGGCCTTCATTGGGTGGAAAGACATCGGCCGGGCCATGCATTGCAAAATTGTTGTCCCCTTCTTAGCAAGTGTGTCAGGAATCTCATTGCCTTTAATGCCACAGTGACCAGGAATCCATTAAGATCATTGCCTTTAATGCCACAGTGACCAGGAATTCATTGTAGAACTAGAATCACTGTTTTGTTTTTCTCTCCACTGACCAGGAATTCATTGTAGGACCACTGTTTTGTTATTTTCTCTCTCAGTATAGAGTTTTCTACATTCCTTTATCTCAGCTGTTTTGGGTCTCTCTGTTTCTAGAGTTTTCTACATTCCTTTATCTCAGCTGTTTTGAGTAGAGTTTTCTACATTCCTTTATCTCAGCTGTTTTGGGTGTTTCAGTTTTCTACATTCCTTTATCTCAGCTGTTTTGGATGGCTATCTCATTCCTTTATCTCAGCTGTTTTGGGTGTCTCTCTGTTTGCTTTGTTTGTTTTTCTCTCTCAGCAACTGTAGAGTTTTTGTTTTTCTTTCTCAGCAGCTGATAGAGTTTTCTACATTCTAGTATCTCAGCTGTTTTGGGTGGCTCTCTGTTTCCAATAGAGTCCTCAGCTGTTTTGGGTGTCTCTCTGTTTCCAATAGAGCCTTAGCTGTTTTGGGTGGCTCTCTGCTTCCAATTGAGTTTATTCCTCCACTGACCAGGAATTCATTGTAGGACCACTGTTTTGTTATTTTCTCTCTCAGTATAGAGTTTTCTACATTCCTTTATCTCAGCTGTTTTGGGTCTCTCTGTTTCTAGAGTTTTCTACATTCCTTTATCTCAGCTGTTTTGAGTAGAGTTTTCTACATTCCTTTATCTCAGCTGTTTTGGGTGTTTCAGTTTTCTACATTCCTTTATCTCAGCTGTTTTGGATGGCTATCTCATTCCTTTATCTCAGCTGTTTTGGGTGTCTCTCTGTTTGCTTTGTTTTGTTTTTCTCTCTCAGCAACTATAGAGTTTTCTACATTCCTTTATCTCAGCTGTTTTGGGTGTCTTTCCAATTGAGTTTATTGCTGACTGTGAGTCCAAAAGTCTGTTTCCAATTGAGTTTATTGCTGACTGTGAGTCTGAAAGTATTACCGCTATGGTGAATTTCGTATCCAAGCAACATAATTGGCATCGTGCTATCCTAATGGTCTCTATTTCTCCTTCAAAAGCGGA